GTAAGTTAACCCTTTAAAATAGAGTGCACTCTTACAGGTATAGTTATACATCATGTGAAACTTCTATATATCTCTATAGAATATATAGAATATAAAATTGTGTACTAAAATAATGCCCTTCAACCCCAAGTCCTCAGATCAGTTTTTCAATTTGGCTTTTTTTCAGGGAATACAAGAATAAGGCAGCAGAGTTGCAGGCTTCATTTGGAGCTTTTACTTCTGTTTTAGATTATTTATAGCTTCCTACAGAATTCATGAACCCAGCTATGGCCCATCAGACTTTGGCTGATTAAATAATTAATATAAGAAAAAAACCCTAAGGAGACAATCTAGTTAGTGCTTGGATAGGAAACCATGAGAAAAATCTGAGTGCATAAACTAAACTGGGATTTTGAAAAAATCCCAGGGGGGGAAAAAAACAACTAAGAACAAAGCGACGTGTTCTGTTTCAAGGTAGCAGACAGATAACAGCAGAGCAGAAGCAGATAACACAGGTTGTAAATCAAAGACTTAGCAAAGCACATTTGTCTAAAAAGTACCATTTATAAAAGAGTAGCCTAGTTACATTACCAAAAGTCACAAAGCCAAATTGTGGAGTCAGCTAGTCCAGAAGTCAGGAATTCAAGAACAGGATACACAATCTAGATTTCCAAATGATTATTTCCAACAGAGAGTGAAGGCAAAGCAAGCTACGTAAATCTCTCTGCTGGCAGCTGGCTGCAATTATTCAGGCCTCACCTTTTGCCTTGCAAGGAGTCTCATTGACTGATGCTGCTCTGCTCACCTCTGTGTGCATCTGGATCTGGGGCTTGAGGGTCGTGCCTTGTCATCTGACTGCTCCAGCTGATCAGGAGATGCCTGTGGCTGATCAACCTCAGATGCATCATGGCTTAATGATTCCTGAGGCTGACATTTCACAGGCTCAGCTGGAGCAACATCTTCAGAGCCAGACTCTGAATTGTGGCTCGTGACACAATGTCCATGAAGTCATCAGGAGTTCAGCTGAACTGGACAACTTTTTAATGTGATCCTTACCTGGATTTACAGCCATGTCCTGTAAGTTCTCGTTCCAACAGAAGAGAATATCTGTAGCTTAGGGTTGAACTGTGGAGTCGTTGGTGCTCCTCGAGCTTGGTTGTTTGCTTGCAGATGTTTCATAACCTGACCAGGTAACATCATCAGTGCTGGTGAGTGTGGGGTTTTCTCCCTGTTTATATACAGTAGCTTGCCCTGCAATCTACTTGCTTGCTTGTCTCCTTGGTAGTTCTTTGATTAGGGTATTGTTCTCTGCTTGATTGTTTGTCTGCTTGATTGTCTCCTTGGTAGTTGATTAAGGTATTGTTTTCTACTTGATTAACTAATTAGCATGGATTAATACCAGACAAATAATCAAGCAGAAAACAATACCAATAGAAGAGAATATATGTAGCTTAGGGTTGAACTGTGGAGCCCTTGGGGTTCTCTGAGCTTGGTTGTTTTCTTGCAAATGTTTTGTTACCTGGCCAGGTAACATCTTCAGTGCTAGAAGGGAGTGGGGTTTGCTCTCTGTTTATATTCAGTAATTTGCCCTGTCGTTGGTGGGGGTGTGAGGTTTTTTTCTTGGTAGTTCCTTGATTAGGGTATTGTTTACTGCTTGATTGTTTGTCTGGTGTTAATCTTGGTGTTAATCTCTGCTTATCTGAGTGTTGATTGCTGGTGAGGAGACA